GTGGCGATCCAGATGGGAAATGCTTGCTGCGTCCTCGGTTCCTGTCCAGAAGCGGAGGAGCTTCAAGAGATCCATAACCTTTAGGCATTTGTCTTGTATGTTTTGTAACCTTTAAATACACAATAAAGGAAAAAAAAGGAAGGGGGTGGTAGGAGAAAAGCACACAGAAACTGTATTGGAGGGGACCTACATTCCCTCCAATGCGTTATGTGTGGTTTCCTCCGAGGCTATGGGTCCCCCTTCTTCCAGCCAGAGGTGGTACTCCCTTCCCTATATAAAATATATATATATATATATATATATATATATATATATATATATATATATATATATATATATATATATATATATATATATATATATATATATATATATATATATATATCCCGATGGGATGTAGGCCTATGGTTCACACCTGGATTTCTGAATTCTCAAAGGAAACATGTTCCTTTGAGGAAAGCCAGAAAGAGATCTAACGTAGAAAGAGAACGCAGACGACACTATAAACGCAGGAAAAAAATAACGGAACTGCTTATGCAGACACGAATTTCCCGTCAAAGAAGGAATAATTTAAATAGGGAGATTGAGGAAATCGAGCGGAAATTGAAACACTCATATGAAACTGAAGAAAGGCAGTTAGAACAGAAAGCAATTCAGGAAATAAAGAAAAATCCAAAATATTTCTTCTCATATGCGAAATCAAAAGCAAAAACCACTGCCAGTATTGGACCTATTCGTACAAGTGAAGGTTCATACACGGAGGATGACAAAGAAATTAGTGAAATCCTAAAAAAGCTGTATGAGGACATGTTTAGCACTCCAATAAACAACATGAAGGTGGAAGATCCAGACATTTTCTTTATGCGGGATATTCAAACCCCGGTAAATATAACTGATATAAACACGAGCGCACTAAATTTTGAAAAAAAAATTGAAAACATGCCCATGCACTCGGCCCCAGGTCCAGACTCATGGAATTCAATATTTATAAAGAAATGCAAAGTGCCGGTAGCACAGGCACTCAGTATAGTGTGGAGGAAGAGCTTGGACACGGGGGAGATACCAGATGCACTTAAAGTAGCAGACATAGCCCCTCTACACAAGGGAGGGAGCAAAGCATTGGCAAAAAATTATAGACCAGTTGCACTAACATCGCACATCATAAAAGTATTTGAGAGAGTGATTAGGAGTCAGGTCACCAATTTCATGGAGACCAATGACCTTCATAACCCAGGCCAACATGGATTTCGAGCGGGAAGATCGTGCCTCTCACAGCTACTTGAGCACTACGACAAAGTCACTGAGGCATTAGAAGAGAAACAGAATGCTGATGTGATATACACGGACTTCGCAAAGGCCTTCGATAAATGTGACCATGGCGTGATAGCACACAAAATGAAGTCAATGGGAATAACCGGTAAAGTAGGACGCTGGATACTCAGTTTTCTGTCAAACAGGACTCAGCGAGTAACTGTCAACCATATAAAATCTAGTCCAAGTGCAGTGAAAAGCTCTGTACCTCAGGGTACAGTCCTTGCACCACTGCTTTTCCTTATTCTCATATCAGATATAGACAAAAATACAAGTCACAGCTTCGTATCATCCTTTGCAGATGACACAAAAATCAGTATGAAAATTACCTCGGCTGAGGACATTGAAAAACTTCAAGCTGATATTAATAAAGTTTTCGACTGGGCATCAGAAAATAACATGATGTTTAACAGTGATAAATTCCAGGTACTCAGGTACGGTAAAAATGAGGACCTTAAACATAATACAGAGTACAAAACACAATCAAATGTACCCATAGTAGGAAAACAGCATGTAAAGGATTTGGGAATAATAATGTCGGACGACCTAACGTTTAAGGAGCATAACCAAGCAAATATTGCGACAGCCAGAAAAATGATAGGATGGATTACGAGAACTTTCAAATCCAGGGATCCCATCACAATGGTTGTACTCTTCAAGGCTCTTGTGTTGTCCCGTCTTGAGTACTGCTCAGTACTCACTTCCCCCTTCAAAGCAGGAGAGATTGCTGAAATAGAGGGAATACAGAGAACATATACGGCACGCATAGAAGCAATAAAGCACCTAAATTATTGGGATCGTCTCAAAGCCCTCCAAATGTACTCACTAGAAAGAAGACGAGAGAGATATCAAATAATATACACCTGGAAGATACTGGAGGGCCAAGTACCAAATCTACACAGTAAAATAACAACGTACTGGAGTGAACGACATGGAAGAAAATGTAGAATAGAACCAATGAAGAGCAGAGGTGCCATAGGCACAATCAGAGAACACTGTATAAACATCAGAGGTCCGCGGTTGTTCAACGTCCTCCCAGCAAGCATAAGAAATATTGCCGGAACAACCGTGGACATTTTCAAGAGGAAACTAGATTTATTCCTCCAAGGAGTGCCGGACCAACCGGGCTGTGGTGGGTATGTGGGCCTGCGGGCCGCTCCAAGCAACAGCCTGGTGGACCAAACTCTCACAAGTCGAGCCTGGCCTCGGGCCGGGCTTGGGGAGTAGAAGAACTCCCAGAACCCCATCAACCAGGTATCAACCAGGTATCAACCTGTACAAATTATCTCATTTTAAGTTATGTTGTTTTCAAAACTAAATTCCAATCAATATCATCTTACTTTTCAACAAGGTATTATATTTTGCATATATTTCATACTTTCATTATTATACAATGAGAAGTTCTGTAATTGTGAAAAAAAAACATCTTTTTTTGGGGGTGGTGGGTAGGGGATTTACATATAATTGGTTATTGTTGAGCCTCCAACACTCGTTGTGGTTATGTTGCTTGAGTGGACTGTTAACACTGCATCACACAGTTTGCTTGCTTGAGTGGCATATGTTAGCTAGAGGAAACATCCAAACAAAAATTTACATTTATAACACTTAAAGAATTTAACATTGCATAAATAGTGGTTTTATAGAACAAACAAATACTGTTCCCACTAAGTAACCATTGTAATTGATCCTTCATATGTCTTATTATTCATATAGCTCTCTAAAAAGAAATAAATCAATGTACTTAAAGCTAATTTTATTATTAAATCACTAATCTGTTTTAAAATCACATCCAATTTGCTCGACTCCCTGTTGTGATCTCTAGCACTTATATCAGATTAATCTGTTCAGTTTATGAATGGTGGCAGCGGTGGGTTTAATGGCATCAAACCCCACTAGTTTAATGCAAATGGCCAAACCCATGTTGTTGTTTTCCCTGATACTAGACCACAACAGAGGCTTGAACGTGTTTTCATGCAAACCCATTCAGTTAACACCACCTCCTCCCTCCTCCTCCAATATCTTATCTGGTGAAGCAGAGACATTGTATATTATGCAGTTTCTTAGGTTATGGAATCACAATACAAAATTAATAATGAATTAAGGAGGTATATCTTTCCCATATGGCATTCTGGATTACATGATGCAGTCTCGTGATTAGTTAAAAAACTTTCTTCAGAAGAGATTCGAAACAAAACAGTGGGATTATTAACACCATGCAAGATCTACTTATTCTTATGCGGTTCTCATAACCGTTGTCCAAATGCTCGTTAATACAGCATCCGTCTGACCTGGTGATGAACGAAAAATATTTCTCATCCGGCTCATAGCTGCTTGCGTTCGAGCTCTTGAAAAATATTTTGCTCGGAGTGCACCTCGGTATGTTTCACCCACGTATTTTAAATACAAGTACTAACTAACAGAATCAAATACTTAACCTAGCCTAGGTTTACCTGCTCACAAAATATGTAAGCAGGTTCACATTGTGAAAGGTAGAATGACACAGTAATTAGCGTTCCACACTTGGGTGAGAACGAGACCATTGAGATCATACCAGTGGATGATAGTGACCATCAATAGTGTAATTATACCTGAAACTTTCTCAGGTACATCACTCCATCATTGATATCTTTATTGCATGCTTGGCTCGTATTACGAACGAGGTCTCACACACACAAAAAGAGATGAAAATATGAGAAAAAGCTTTACTTTAACGAAAAACCTGTTTCAGAAACAGAGAGAGAAAGCTTTTAATTTTCCATTGGTGACCTATATTCTCATTAATGTATATTATATACATTAATGTATAATGCACAAGGATTTTTTTACGTGAGTCAAAATGTGAGCTGGCACTGCGTATTGGAGACCCAACACACCGCACCTCGCACCTGCTGGACGTATATTGCTTAGATGACGGGCTCAGTGATAGCGGGAACCAGACTATCTCTTCACCAGGGCTGTATTATGGAGGATCCTGGACATCTGCGTTGATTTGGCTTTCCTTTGTGACATGCAAAAATGTCCTGTACCTTTTGATTTTAATTAAGTTTTCCTCTGTCTATGTGATAGCCAAATGACGGTTCCGTCAACATTTAGATGCTTTAATGCTAGTTTCACATGAGTTTCTAATCCAATTAGGTGCAGCCAAATTACGTGGTCGATTCTTATTCTCTAACGTATGAAAGAGAAAGTGTATAGTGAGCTCGGAGGAGATATTGCTCTTCTCTCAGGCAAGCGTGGAGTGTCTCTGATGACCAAGGTTCCATTCTAGCCTCAGTAATCATGAGAATTAGGTGCGTGTGAAGAGTTGTTCTATTCAGGCAGAAGCTTTGCCGGTTTGTGATGGCAAGGTCTTCCTGAATCGTCACGGAAGACACACACAATTGATATATAAGACTTTGCCATATGTTACTACAAATTGTATTTATTTTACCTATTGACGACCGCATGAAACTGTACATCATAACCAATCTAGAGTGTACTCTATGTAATTGCAGAAATGTAGTCCATCCAATCTGTGTAATTGCAGAAATGCAACCCACCCATTCTGTGTAATTGCAGAAATGCAATTACACTATTTCCACCCGTTAGATATTATGAAGCTTTGTGTCTGTGAGAGCAAAGTTTCTTAAAGGAGGAAGCTGCTCTCTAACGGCATGGAAGGAAAGATGAGGCGCAGCGTCCTCATGCAATCATGTAACTGCATTGGTGACATGAATCCATCCATCTCCTGATCTAGCGAGAACACACAATATGACCGAAAGCATTTGATCAGTAATACAAGCACTGATCTTCTCAACATTTGATACGTTCTTTTTCACCTGGAAAGGAAGTTGACAAATTTATCTCTTCAAATGGCATTTTTCCATTTTATTCCATCTGTTGAGAGCAATGATGCGTTTCACTGAAGCTGTCAACATCTTCGGTGGCAGAGGAGAGTTGGACTCAAATTATTAGATGTTACAGCCTGTATAAGTGTTATGTGGCTCTAGGCATGGTGTTCCCAAAGCTTTGTCGGCTGCTGCAGTTGTGTCTTGGTCTTGAGGATGGTAGTACGTACTTGAATGCAGTCTGTTGATAGTTGGATGAGAGTATCTGATGTGAAGTGCATCGGCAATGACTAATCTTGTATTGCCGTTGAATCTGTCGATTATTTCGGTGCAATTGGTCAAGATATCTCTGGTGTTGGTCTGGTTGTGTGTATATATATTATGCGACGAGTATAAAGTCTTGGTTTATATTTATTGTCAGATCTTGTAAGAGATGTTGTCTTGCCTATATATTGAGATCTTGGAGCTGACAATCCCCAAGTGGGCGTGTGTGTGTGTGTGTATTAAATGGAGGTCAAGCTGATTCACATGTATACAGCTTGCATGCAGAAAATGCACACGGTAGGCCTACATATTCATGGCCTCTGCTGTTAGTTTCGTCTACAATATATCAGGCTGTATGGTATGGATACTCTCTGTTGGATACTTGGCATTATTAAAGCGTTACTGTTATATTTAGTATATATATGGATGTCTTATAGGTTGAAAAATCATATATAATCGTAAATTTTTATTATTGCCATAACGTGGTTCTTATTTTAAGCATTGTTATTAGATTTAAAGTATCTTAGAAATATATTAAGAATAAGTTATATATCATTGTGAAAAGTAGTTAAGTTAATTGTCTCCTGGTTTGGCTATGTATCTATTAAAGTCTTTAGAATGGTATCAATTGCTGTTATTTTCACTCATTTATGTAAGTGTTATGTCATTATGAACATTTAATATATAGTATAATTATAATTATCGACATTACTAATTCCAATATTGTGTACTTTTATAAATGAGCAATGTAACTAATTTTGAAATGCACTGCAATTATAAACGTGTAAACATTTATGCATTAAGGTTTTGAGAGATTTACTAATTATAGAGAATGTATTAATTAAAACACAAAATACAATTAATTCTTTTCTGGCCTTAAGCCTCTGGCTGGTCCACTAAATATTTCTAATTAGAGAGTTCACGAACAGTATCTGTTTATTTTTAGGCGAAGCTTGCCTCGTCTGTGTCCAAATTGCACAAGAAATTGGTTATTGAGGAAGACATTAATTACCAGCTCCTTGTTTTTGTTTATTTTGTTACCTACTGACAGCCCGACAACCATCACCACTTCCCTTAACAAACACACCAACACTTCCCTTAACAAACACACCAACACTTCTCTCAACAAACACACCAACACTTCCCTTAACAAACACACCAACACTTCCCTTAACAAACACATCAACACTTCCCTTAACAAACACACCAACACTTCCCTTAACAAACACACCACCTCAAATTCCCTCAACAAACACACCAACACTTCCCTCAACAAACACACCAACACTTCTCTCAACAAACACACCAACACTTCCCTCAACAAACACACCAACACTTCCCTCAACAAACACACCAACACTTCTCTCAACAAACACACCAACACTTCCCTCAACAAACACACCAACACTTCTCTCAACAAACACACCAACACTTCTCTCAACAAACACACCAACACTTCCCTTAACAAACACACCAACACTTCTCTCAACAAACACACCAACACTTCTCTCAACAAACACACCAACACTTCCCTTAACAAACACACCAACACTTCTCTCAACAAACACACCAACACTTCCCTTAACAAACACACCAACACTTCCCTTAACAAACACACCACCTCAAATTCCCTCAACAAACACACCAACACTTCCCTTAACAAACACACCAACACTTCCCTTAACAAACACACCACCTCAAATTCCCTCAACAAACACACCAACACTGCCCTATACACACCTGCCTTCCGGCACATTATCACCCGCGGGAATGATTAGTCTTCGACAAGAGCCTAATTACTGACAAACAGCAACAGTACATTATTCCTGACCACAAAGGACTAAAGTAAACTTTATACGCCCTTTAAAAAATATATAAGCCTCTTTGAATGCGTGAAACTAATTGTGTAAATAATCAGCTAACACAAAGCGTCTGTGATTGGTAAGTTCACCTGAGCTGTGCCAGGAATGGCATTACCCACGTGATGAGAGAGCCAAAGTTACCTCCTTAGTGATTGGTCAAACGAACAGTAGAAATTTTCTTTATTGATATGTACGTTAAATATCTTTTGTATTTTTCTTTATTTGTCAAAAATTGCAGAAATATGTACAAACGATAGAACACTTAGAACACATTCTCGACACCAAGTACAAACAGCCTTACAGAGCGGGATTAGGAATATTGATCTCCCTGTATTGAAAACATTAAGACATCACACACAAACTTAATATGCACAGAGATAACATATCATGATGAATACAATCATCATAAGTTCACTCATTCCATACATCCAAAACTAAATTACAACATGTGCGACTTTTTTGTTATTTTATTTATGTGAAACTGACAAATAATTCACCTACCAACGAAGCACATAACTACAACAAGGCAGTAGTACAACGTTGGCAAAATAAAACACGAAACAATAAGTCATACAGGGACACGTACGTTACTAAACAGTAAACAGAGTACTTGCCTGGTGCTGGCTGTGTGAGGGTGGGCGCTGTTTGGCGTGTCGGCGACATGGGGATCCCCCTACCCGCTGTTCGCCGGTCTGAAATTATTGGGCTTGAATTTTCTGGCAGAGCGTCATACCCTGCATTGGAAATTGTGTTACTGGATATGCTACGTATTCGTGTGGCCGACATGTACGGACTCCAGTTGTTAACGACCCATCGGGCACTCGTGAAGTTTCACTCTGTGGCAGGAACATCCTGGCAAGCTATGACGGGCGGACGTTTACGCTCCCTGGAGACGGTAGTACAGTCACTATTTCTGACCACTGTTGCGCTGTGACATATGTTGCGCTGCATAGTGTACCCTTCGAGTTCTCAGATGCTCTGCTACGGAGGTATTTTGGCCAGTTTGGGACGGTGGTTTCCCTCAAAATGAAATCAGTCTCTTCCGGCAGGTGGCGCGGGGTCTTGTGAGACTCTCGCCTTGCGGCTCAAGTCTCCTATTCCATCTACATTGGTTACTCGGTTACCCGGTTCCGTTACCCGGTTCCGGTTACCTTGATGAGGTACACTATGCGGGCCTTTTATGAAGGGCAGCCAAGACAGTGTTTTCATTGTGGCTTAGAGGAGCACCAGGCGGCCGCTTGCACTGGGATCGCAGCTGCACCCGTTAATTTATTCCGAGAAGAGGATTTTTCCCCGTTGTGGCACAGGACCTGTCGCCTAGTGGTGTGGGTGGGGAGGTACCCTCGCCGCCTGTTAACCCAGTGGTGTTACCTGGTTCCTCGGATGGTGTGCCGGTGCGTCCAGAAGGTGGTGTGCATGACGAGGTGGTGGTGTGTGGGGCCCCGCCCCCGCGGACGGCCTCTTCCCTCCCGCAGAATGTCTCGCCTTTCCGCGCTTCTTCTCCTCTGCAGGTACATGCCTCACCTCATGCTCCCTTGCTGGTCCCTTCACTTCCGCCAGCTGCGCTTGCTCCTTCTCCTGTTCCGGTTTCCTCTGTGGGTGGTGGCCTCCTCCCCCGTGTCGTGGAAGCTGAAATTCTACAGGGTCGTGCTTAGCCAGCTATGGAGCAGCCTGCCTCCGGCTCTTCTCGGGCGCCTCCTGTGAGGGGGGGGGGGTGACAGCTCCGACGATCAGCGTCTGGTCTCGAAGAGTTCACGCACGGATCGCAGTGTGTCGCCGCCTCGAGACTGGGCTGAGGATGAGGAGTGTGCTGTTGTTTCCTCTGTAAGCTCTGCCTCCCTGGATTGTGTGGCTGAATCGGCCCTTGCGCCGCCTGCGGTTGGCTCCCCTCCGTGGGTGGCTGCCCTTGGTACGCGGAGTACATGCCTGACCCTTATGAATATTCTGCTTATCCGGTGTCCAAGATATAGGTGAGCAGGAGAACACACCTGAAGTGTACATACCTGTACACTTCCGGTGTATACATGCAGGTGAGCAGAAGGTACAGGTGTGTACATGTTCTGCTGCAGGTGAGCAGGAGAAGGTACAGGTGTACAGAGGAACTGCTGGCTTGGGAGGCTTACTGCCTGTGCTCTCCGGCTCAGGTCTTCCTAGATAAATATGTGTAGCACTTATGTTTGATTTCTGTCCCTGTATATCTGTATCTTTGTTTTTGTTGTTTGCTGTATGTACGCTTTGACTGTTTGTTTGGTGTGCCTCATTCCGTTGTTGGGTGTTATGGTGGGGTGGGTCATTGCGTGTATGTGTTGTTTGGCTCTTTGTTCCCGGTTCTTGCGCGTTCCGGTGTTTTTTGTTTGTGGGCTTAGGTGTGTGTGTGTGTGTGGCCAGTTTTTTCCGCTTCCTGCGCGTTCCGGTGTTCTGGCGCGTGTCTGCGTGTAGCTCTGTGCTTTCCTTATTTATTGTGTCATGTCCTTTTCCCCTTGTCTTACTTGTGGTGCGCTTCCTGTCCCGGGTTTATTCCGACTCCCGGTGTCTGTGTGTTCCGGTTTTGTGTTTTTATGCTTCGTTTTGTTTCCTTACCCTTATGGTTTTGGACTTTATGTTTGTTGTCCTGTGTTTATGTTTTTGTTGTTCCTGTCCTTTTCCTTGTTCAATGTCCCATGTTTATTGTTTTATGTTTGTGTACTGTTTTTCTGTTTGTTGTTTTATATGTTTTTATTTGTTTCATGTGTATTCCTTTATGTTTATTTTTGTGTATACTTGAAGTGTAGTTAGTATTTTCTTGTTTCCTTGTACAGCGTTTTGTGCCTTTGTTTTTGTCTCGCTTTGTGTTATTTTTCAGTACCTGTGTGAGTTTCGAGGCTTTGTGTTACATGTTACATGGTTTTCTGTATTTCTGTTCTTTATGTTGTGTTGTTATAGTTGTTTGTCTTTGTTTATTTTCCTTTTACGGTGTATTTATGTATGTGGTGTTTTTTTTAAAGTAAACAAAACAAACACAAAGGATCCAGTTGCATTACTAACAAATATAATTCTATAACAGATCAAAACAAGAGCTGCTGCAATCTAATAACTGGATTACAAAATGATTTAAATACACGTAAGCTGATTACCAAAGATTGTCTTCTTTGTTGCATTTTACAAGCATTTATATATGTGAAGGTAGGAGAAAACATCCATAGAAATATGAAATTATACATCAAAATACATTCTCCCAAAACCGTAACATTACACAATTTAAACACCAGTCACAAGTACATTACTTAGAACAAGAATCCTTGTCCTTCGTGAATTTGGTATTCGAATCGAAAAAAAAGGAAAATAATTAGGAATAGAAATATCTCACTCAGAGGAAACATTCTGAAAGTGAACTTGGTAACTAAAATTCCATTAATATCATGAATCATGTAAAGCAAAGATCAACACCCTATACCATCTCGTTACACTACAACAAACTCTAATGACTGAAGGCAATTACCTCACATGTTCACCTAATTAAATCGCTAACCATTAAGCGGGTAACCTACACAAATTAAACTCGTCTCCAAAACACCTTTAAACAGAGAAAAACAGTTTGAAACAACTATACTCCCCCACACCTGAAAGCGTCGAACTACCCGTGGGAAAACGTATCAACATTCGATGTTCTTGACGTCCACATCACTACTACACTCGGCCAACACTGCCAACGCACCCATCACCTAAATTCAACATATTTTGCCGTAGGCTAAAAACAAATATTACAAAATCTTTAAAACTTCGCAGAAATGTTTTCCAGACTCGTGTACCAGAGCCACCATGGCGGGACGGTCGAGTCTTGTTGTGTCTCTTGAACTGCCAGTTTAGGCTCTTGGCTGAAGTTTGTTGACGCCTGCAGCGCCCTGACAGTCGTGGCTACACTGGTGCAGAGGTCGACAGTGTAAGGGGGTCCCTCTGCCAATGGGGGGTTCGATGATATAGTGCAGTGGGGAATTAAGTTCACGTTTAGGTCCATACTACGACATAATGAACGTCGCCGTGTTCGTCGTCCTTCACGCCAACACTGAGGATGTTGTTGGTGCTTCGCTGCTTGGTGCCCCGCTGCTTGGTGCCCCGCTGCTTGGTGCCCCGCTGCTTGGTGCCCCGCTGCTTGGTGCCCCGCTGCTTGATGCCCCGCTGCTTGATGCCCCGCTGCTTGGTGCCCCGCTTCCTGGTGCCCTGCTGCTTGGAGCCCCGCTGCCTGGTGCCCTGCTGCTTGATTCCCCGCTGACTGGTGCCCCGCTGCTTGGTGCCCCGCTGTTTGGTGCCCTGCTGCTTGATTCCCCGCTTCCTGGTGCCCCGCTGCTTGGTGCCCTGCTGCTTGGTGCCCAGCTGCCTGGAACCCTGCTGCTTGATTCCCCGCTTCCTGGTGCCCCGCTGCTTGGTGCTCCGATGCCTGGTGCCCCGCTGCTTGGTGCCCCACTGCTTGGTACCCCACTGCTTGGTGCCCCGCTACTTGGTGCTCCGCTGACTTTTGCTCCGCTGTTTGGTGCCCCACTGCTTGGTGCCCCGCTGCTTGGTGCCCCGATGCATGGTGCTTCGCTGCTTGGTGCCCCGCTGCTTGGTGCCCCGCTGCTTGGTGCCCCACTGCTTGGTGCCCCGCTGTTTGGTGCCCCGCTGCTTGGTGCCCCACTGCTTGGTGCCCCACTGCTTGGTGCCCCGCTGCTTGATGCCCCGCTGTTTGGTGCCCCGCTGCTTGGTGCCCCACTGCTTGGTACCCCACTGCTTGGTGCCCCGCTGCTTGGTGCTCCGCTGACTGTTTCTCCACTGCTTGGTGCCCCGCTGCTTGGTGCCCCGCTGCTTGGTGCCCTGCTGCTTGGTTCTCCGCTGCTTGGTGCTCCGCTGACTGTTGCTCCACTGCTTGGTGCCCCGCTGCTTGGTGCCCCGCTGCTTGGTGCCCCGCTGCTTGGTGCCCCGCTGCTTGGTGCTCTGCTGACTGTTGCTCCGCTGCTTGGTGCCCCGCTGCTTGGTGCCCCGCTGCTTGGTGCCCCGCTGCTTGGTGCTCCGCTGGCTTTTTCTCCGCTGACTGTTGCCCCGCTGCTTGGTGCCCAGCTGCTTGGTACCCCGCTGCTTGGTGCCCCACTGCTTGGTACCCCACTGCTTGGTGCCCCGCTGCTTGGTGCTCCGCTGACTTTTGCTCCGCTGTTTGGTGCTCCACTGCTTGGTGCCCCGATGCTTGGTGCTTCGCTGCTTGGTGCCCCGCTGCTTGGTTCCCCGCTGCTTGGTGCCCCACTGCTTGGTGCCCCACTGCTTGGTGCCCCGCTGCTTGGTGCCCCGCTGCTTGGTGCCCCGCTGTTTGGTGCCCCGCTGCTTGGTGCCCCACTGCTTGGTACCCCACTGCTTGGTGCCCCGCTGCTTGGTGCTCCGCTGACTGTTGCTCCACTGCTTGGTGCCCCGCTGCTTGGTGCCCCGCTGCTTGGTGCCCTGCTGCTTGGTTCTCCGCTGCTTGGTGCTCCGCTGACTGTTGCTCCACTGCTTGGTGCCCCGCTGCTTGGTGCTCTGCTGACTGTTGCTCCGCTGCTTGGTGCCCCGCTGCTTGGTGCCCCGCTGCTTGGTGCCCCGCTGCTTGGTGCTCCGCTGGCTTTTTCTCCGCTGACTGTTGCCCCGCTGCTTGGTGCCCAGCTGCTTGGTACCCCGCTGCTTGGTGCCCCACTGCTTGGTACCCCACTGCTTGGTGCCCCGCTGCTTGGTGCTCCGCTGACTGTTGCTCCACTGCTTGGTGCCCCGCTGCTTGGTGCCCCGCTGCTTGGTGCCCTGCTGCTTGGTGCTCCGCTGCTTGGTGCTCCGCTGACTGTTGCTCCACTGCTTGGTGCCCCGCTGCTTGGTGCCCCGCTGCTTGGTGCCCCGCTGCTTGGTGCTCCGCTGCTTGGTGCTCCGCTGACTGTTGCTCCGCTGCTTGGCGCCCCGATGCTTGGTGCCCCGCTGCTTGGTGCTCCGCTGACTGTTGCTCCGCTGCTTGGTGCCCCGCTGCTTGGTGCTCCGCTGCTTGGTGCTCCGCTGACTGTTGCTCCACTGCTTGGTGCCCCGCTGCTTGGTGCTCCGCTGACTGTTGCTCCGCTGACTGGTGCCCCGCTGCTTGGTGCCCCGCTGCTTGGTGCCCTGCTGCTTGGTGCTCCGCTGCTTGGTGCTCCGCTGACTGTTGCTCCACTGCTTGGTGCCCCGCTGCTTGGTGCTCCGCTGCTTGGTGCTCCGCTGACTGTTGCTCCACTGCTTGGTGCCCCACTGCTTGGTGCCCCGCTGCTTGGTGCCCCGCTGCTTGGTGCTCCGCTGACTGTTGCTCCGCTGCTTGGTGCCCCGCTGCTTGGTGCCCCGCTGCTTGGTGCTCCGCTGACTGTTGCTCCTCTGCTTGGTGCCCTGCTGCTTGGTGCCCCGCTGCTTGGTGCTCTGCTGACTGTGGCTCCGCTGCTTGGTGCCCCACTGCTTGGTGCTCCGCTGCTTGTTGCTCCGCTGACTGTTGCTCCACTGCTTGGTGCCCCGCTGCTTGGTGCCCCGCTGCTTGGTGCTCCGCTGACTGTTGCTCCGCTGCTTGGTGCCCCGCTGCTTGGTGCCCCGCTGCTTGCTGCCCCGCTGCTTGGTGCTCCGCTGACTGTTGCTCCGCTTCTTGGTGCCCCGCTGCTTGGTGCCCCGCTGCTTGGTGCTCTGCTGACTGTTGCTTCGCTGCTTGGTTCCCCGCTGCTTGGTGCCCCGCTGCTTAGTGCCCCGCTGCTTGGTGCTCCGCTGACTGTTGCTCCGCTGACTGTTGCCCCGCTGCTTGGTGCTCCGCTGACTGTTGCCCCGCTGCTTGGTGCTCCGCTGACTGTTGCTCCACTGCTTGGTGCCCCGCTGCTTGGTGCCCCGCTGCTTGGTGCCCCACTGCTTGGTGCCCTGCTGCTTGGTGCTCCGCTGCTTGGTGCTCCGCTGAATGTTGCTCCGCTGACTGTTGCCCCGCTGCTTGGTGCCCAGCTGCTTGGTGCCCCGCTGCTTGGTGCCCCGCTGCTTGGTGCCCAGCTGCTTGGTGCCCCGCTGCTTGGTGCCCCGCTGCTTGGTGCCCCGCTGCTTTGTGCCCCACTGCTTGGTATCCCACTGCTTGGTGCCCCGCTGCTTGGTGCTCCGCTGACTGTTGCTCCTCTGCTTGGTGCCCCATTGCTTGGTGCCCCGCTGCTTGGTGCTCCGCTGCTTGGTGCTCCGCTGACTGTTGCTCCGCTGCTTGGTGCCCCGCTGCTTGGTGCCCCACTGCTTGGTACCCCACTGCTTGGTGCCCCGCTGCTTGGTGCTCCGCTGACTGTTGCTCCACTGCTTGGTGCCCCATTGCTTGGTGCCCCGCTGCTTGGTGCTCCGCTGCTTGGTGCTCCACTGACTGTTGCTCCACTGCTTGGTGCCCCGCTGCTTGGTGCCCTGCTGCTTGGTGCCCCACTGCTTGGTGCCCCACTGCTTGGTGCCCCGCTGCTTGGTGCTCTGCTGACTGTTGCTCCACTGCTTGGTGCCCCGCTGCTTGGTGCCCCGCTGCTTGGTGCTCCGGTGACTGTTGCTCCACTGCTTGGTGCCCCGCTGCTTGGTGCTCTGCTGACTGTTGCTCCACTGCATGGTGCCCCGCTGCTTGGTGCCCCGCTGCTTGGTGCCCCGCTGCTTGGTGCCCCACTGCTTGGTGCCCCGCTGCTTGGTGCTCTGGTGACTGTTGCTCCACTGCTTGGTGCCCCGCTGCTTGGTACTCTGGTGACTGTTGCTCCACTGCTTGGTGCTCTGCTGACTGTTGCTCCACTGCTTGGTGCCCCGCTGCTTGGTGCCCCGCTGCTTGGTGCTCTGCTGACTGTTGCTCCACTGCTTGGTGCCCCGCTGCCTGGTGCCCCGCTGCCTGGTGCCCCGCTGCTTGGTGCCCCGCTGCCTGGTGCCCCGCTGCTTGGTGCCCCGCTGCCTGGTGCCCCGCTGCTTGGTGCCCCGCTGCCTGGTGCCCCGCTGCCTGGTGCCCCGCTGCTTGGTGCCCCGCTGCCTGGTGTTCCACCTTCTGAGATGCCAGACGATCTGATCGCCAGTGTCATAGGGCGTTATGGGAAGGCTCTTGGGGTGGCTCGCCAGTCCCGTTTCTCCCGAGAACAGTGTCGAGGCATGACGAGTGGTACCCGGGGAGGGGCATGGCGAGTGGTACCCGGGGAGGGGCATGGCGAGTGGTACCCGGGGAGGGGGCATGTTGAGTGGTACCCGGGGAGGGGGCATGTTGAGTGGTACCCGGGGAGGGGCATGTTGAGTTTTACCCGGGGAGGGGGCATGTTGAGTGGTACCCGGGGAGGGGCATGTTGAGTGGTACCCGGGGAGGCATGTTGAGTGGTACCCGGGGAGGGGGCATGTTGAGTGGTACCCGGGAGGGGGCATGTTGAGTGGTACCCGGGGAGGGGGCATGTTGAGTGGTACCCGGGGAGGGGCATGGCGAGTGGTACCCGGGAGGGGCATGTTGAGTGGTACCCGGGGAGGGGGCATGTTGAGTGGTACCCGGGAGGGGGCATGTTGAGTGGTACCCGGGGAGGGGGCATGTTGAGTGGTACCCGGGAGGGGCATGGCGAGTGGTACCCGGGGAGGGGGCATGTTGAGTGGTACCCGGGGAGGGGGCATGTTGAGTGGTACCCGGGGAGGGGCATGTTGAGTGTTACCCGGGGAGGGGGCATGTTGAGTGGTACCCGGGGAGGGGCATGGCGAGTGGTACCCGGGGAGGGGCATGTTGAGTGGTACCCGGGGAGGGGGCATGTTGAGTGGTACCCGGGGAGGGGCATGTTGAGTGGTACCCGGGGAGGGGGCATGTTGAGTGGTACCCGGGGAGGGGCATGGCGAGTGGTACCCGGGGAGGGGGCATGTTGAGTGGTACCCGGGGAGGGGGCATGTTGAGTGGTACCCGGGGAGGGGCATGGCGAGTGGTACCCGGGGAGGGGCATGGCGAGTGGTACCCGGGGAGGGGCATGGCGAGTGGTACCCGGGGAGGGGCATGGCGAGTGGTACCCGGAGGGGGCATGGCGAGTGGTACCCGGGAGGGGCATGTTGAGTGGTACCCGGGAGGGGGCATGGCGAGTGGTACCCGGGAGGGGGCATGGCGAGTGGTACCCGGGGAGGGGGCATGTTGAGTGGTACCCGGGAGGGGGCATGGCGAGTGGTACCCGGGGAGGGGCATGGCGAGTGGTACCCGGGGAGGGGCATGGCGAGTGGTACCCGGGAGGGGGCATGGCGAGTGGTACCCGGGAGGGGGCATGGCGAGTGGTACCCGGGAGGGGGCATGTTGAGTGGTACCCGGGAGGGGGCATGGCGAGTGGTACCCGGGAGGGGGCATGGCGAGTGGTACGGGGGGGGGGGGATATGTCGAGGGGTACCCGGACAGCACATGTGGTGCTCTAAGCATGTGCCTTCCT